ATTTGCCCTCCGGATTGTCCCAATCGTTTGTCCCATGTTCTGACTTCTTGTCCCCAAACAAAAACCCTGGATTTTTCCACCCACTTGGCTTCTCAAACTGGTCGCTCGCTGGAGATGCGCGGACCGCCCCATCGACCTACAGCCGGCCTTCAGCCCCCAGCCACTCGGCTCAAGGAATGGCTCAATTTGGAGGAATCGTTGTACAAAAAGGGGTGACCTCTATGGCTCGTCGTTTCTCTTTTTAGGAATCGGACCCCCCAAAAGGGCGCGGGTTTCCCTTTGAAACCACAGAGAATTGGTTCCCTGAAAAGTGGAACCCTGCAATCTTTTGGTTCTGCTGGATGTGCAGCAGGTGGGCGGGGAACGGACAAACTTTGCTCCACTGCACCCACCCCAAGAAGTCTCCTCTGACCTTTCAAGTCTTGAGTCAGGTAGTCAATTCGTGAATTACTTAGTTTGTCAGATACTTCACTCAGCTAGCCAGCTAGCCAGCCGCTCACTCCGGTAAGTAGTTTGTTAGTTGGTTAGTTAGTTGGTGGTTTGTTAGTGAGTTGGTTAGTCAAGTTAGTGCGTTGCTGAGTCAGCCAGCCAGTGAGGGGATTCCTTGCATACAAAAATCGGGCAGACTCCTTGCGTCTCTAAACTACAGTGACTTGGTATCCAACGAATTTGGTCAGTGGCTATACACAACAAGTTGTTCGTGTCCAACTGACTCTGACTGATTGCATCCGATTGTTTTTCTTGTATGGGTTGGGGTTCAACATCAAACCACCAGAAATTGGACCCCGGGAAATATTCCTTGTTTTCATTTAAAAATGGGCAACCCAGTTCGGGGTTACCCATTTTCCCATGCCATTTTCCATTAACCACCAGGTGTTGTTTCCCCGTATTTTGGTACCATCCGTTTCCTGTGGCCAAAATGGATTCCTTGAAGGGAATCCCCCCAAAATCTGTGGATGCCAATTAAGTCTGTCCAGAACCAGAGGTTTCAATCTATCTGGATGCCAATTCAGCGATACCTGACGTTCCTCGGCTCTGGGCCTCCCCCCGTCTCCCGTCTCCGTTTCTCAGGCAGGCGGTGTACGGGGCGCAGCTGGACTTCGCCGAGCCCAGCTTCGCCGTGGACGCCCAACCAGCCGAGGAGCGGGCGGGACGACTCGGGGCGCTTTTTTGGTGAGGACGGCGACGGCCAAGCTGTTCAAAGTAGATCCAAAATGGATCCAAAGAATTCCAAATATAGATCCAAGTAGATCCAAATATCCAATAGATCCAAATATAGATGCAAATAATTACGCACATATTTTTATTTATTTGTGGGAAGTTCCGTTTTGACAGGAAGAGCGGGCTGTTTGTTCGTGGGTTGGACAATTTTGGTGTGAAGGTGTTCAAGTATTTGAGCATGTTTTGGTCGAGGGGACGCCCAAAGTAGAGGTTTTTCGTTTGGCGTCCCTTCAAATCAAAGCGACAAAGCAAATGGGGTACCCTCAAAAAACAACCACCCATTTGGCACTTTTGCAGTGTTTATTTGTAGAGAACCCTGGGACACATAAGAATCGGGTTGGCAATAACTAGAGCCGGTCTCCCAAGGCCGGAAGGCAGCATCCAGAATGAATCCTTGTTTGTGGGAAATTCCCTTTTGATAGGAAAGGGGTTTGTAGCAGTGGGTTGGGAATTTGGGTGTGAGCAAGGATGTTAATTGCGAAGAGCAGAAACAGACCTCAAGGATCACTCATCGGCTGGCTGGGGCCATTTCTATCCCCAAGAACATGAGCAGCCCAAAAACCGCGCCCTGTTTTTCGGGTTCTGTGTTGCCACAGCGGCAAAGGGAAGAAGCATGTTCAGAAATTGCGGAGGCTTTGGACATGCTTTGGCAGATATGTTTGCCCACTCTTCGTCCATTCTTGCGAAACATTGGTTTGCCAGTGTAAGAATAATTGGCAAAGTTAGACAGGTGAGCCTAGGTGAGTTGATTGCATACGAGCATCCACGTTTGGATGACAATCATGGTTTTTGTTTTTTTGTTTTAGTTTGATGGAGGTTTATTTGTTCATGCACTTTTGCATTCAAATGTGTATTCATTTGTGTTTATGTTTGTATTGTTTTAGTCGACAATTTGTTTGATTATCCCCGTTAATCTATTGATTTGTACAAGCTGTTTTTTGTTTGTTTACGCATATAGCGTACGGACACTCCGCAGAGGCATGCCTGAATCAACCAGTGCACAGATAGATGGCCAATTACCTTGATTGCTACAGATATACCAAGAAACCCTTTTCTATATAGAACATCTCCCGCACATCACACATGCCACACATACCACGCATAGCACACATGCCACACATGCCACACATGGTCTCGTAGCAATACGTTCAATGGACGACGTCAGTCCGAGGGCGCAGACTTTGTGAACATGGAGGACTTCTCTTCCACGAAGCTGGTGGCGCCAGGCCTTTCGGCCTTGAAGTTTCAAAACGGGGACCCTGGGACCCTCGACATCCAACGGAGCGAGTTTGGGCCGGAAACTGGGGGGTGAGCTTTGTCGCAAATCGACACGGTTTCTATGGTTCCCCTTGTTGCGGTTCTTATGGAGACGAATTTGAGCCCGTGTGCCCTTTGCAGGTGTGGCTTAAGAAGGTGAACTGAGCCCGGTGCATAATCTGGAATGCATTTGGTTTATTGCTGTTGCTTCGTTTTTGGGGGCAGATGGGTAAATGGCTCGTGAAGTGTTGGACCCCAACAGCTTTTGTGGTGTCTTTTTGGGTTTCGTTTAATCATGCAGCATCGAGGCACCCCCAATTCTCAGGAGACCGTTTTCATATCTTTTCTGAAATGGAGGCGGGTCCGTTGTGCTTTGCTGTTTCCATCCAAAATGGAATGGCACGCACCTGAGGTCCTGCAGAACTCACGGGAACACTTGACGTATCTCAACGCACGAAACGAGATGTCTGGACCGCATTGTTTTCCCCTACAATAAGGGTCTACATAATTAGATAACGGTTTGAGTGAACTTGCACGGACTTGAAAATCTGAACTTGGTCATCAGAGGATAATCAGCTTCCCACTAAGTTTGGATTGGTGGTACCCCTGCTTCTTGTAGAGGGTAAATGGGAACCCCCCCTCCCAACTCACCAATCCAAACCACCAATCAGTGGGAATCTCAGATAATCTGTGTTTCATTGTGTCGTCCCTTGTCTTATGCAGGCCGTAGGGAAGAAACAAAATCCGCGCCGCGCCGCGCTCGTCAGCTCGAGACATCTTGGTTCCTTTTCTGCAGGCAAACAGGTGATCTCCACGCTGAAGGTGCGGAATCCCGAGAGCAAGGCCGGATCTCCCATGCACCCCCCCCCAAAACGGCATGGGAAATGTTCCTTTGGTTTCCCTTGAAGACCACCCGACAAAGGGTACCTTCAAAAAACACGCGTTGTTTTTTGTGGGTGCCCTTGTTGGGGCTGGCTTAAGGGAAACCAAAGGGGGAAGCCACACAGTTTCGGGGGTTCACAGCTTCACTAAATATGGCTGCCGAAGGATTTTGTTTGGTTTGGGTAGAGGGCAGCATCTGAGGATATCTGAGGTAGTTTTGGTTTTGACATTGGATTCCTTGAGGGAGCCCTAATGAACAGCACCAATCAGAGGAATCTCACCAAAACCATCCCGCGAATAGTGTGGTCCTCCTCTTGATTAATCCGAACTTGACATTATATATGGCTGTGTCAAGACTCGGGGTCCCTGTTGAAGCAATCCCAAAAGTCGTTCTTGTTTGGACACATACTCGTATTTAGCCTTGGTGCTTTTCTGCATCACCTTTTCGAGCGGCCAATGTTTGTGACTTTTTTCTGGGTGATGTCTTGGTTGGAAATAGGTGGCCAAAACGCCAGTTGCAGCGTATAGGGTTCCATATAGCGAGTGGAAAATGGCTGACTTCACGCGGGCCATCGTACATCCAATTGTGGCATTTGTGTGTGTGTGTGTGTGTCTTATTTTAGACCCCTGCAAAGTGGGGGACTTGACTTAGGTTTCCCCTTAAAACCTCTACTTAAAAGTGTTCCGGCCGCCGGTCCTTGAACCACACCCCAAGTCACGCGGGTCCCGACCGAGGAGGAGTTGGACTACTCCGTGACTGTGCAGCGGCTCACGGGCAAAGAGGCACCCGGGAAATCTGGGCTATGAACGCCATGGGTCAAAAACAAGGATTTGGACCCTCAAGGGTTGTTTTATTTTTGGTTTCTCTTCACCCCAAAAAAGGTGTCCTCACAAGGCACACCGAATACCCTTTGAGCTGGCTGGCAAAACCAAATTCGCAGGCTGGCAAAGGGACCGGTGCCATTCGCTCGCTGTTTGGGTCTACCATGGATGAACAACGTGCACGCTTACGCACCAAAGTCGTATGTCTGTCTGCACAACTCCGGACCGCTAAAATGTCACAAGCCAAATTAATGATGCCCCATTTGCTTGGAATTGAGTTTAGCCCGATTTGAGTGGATGGCTCGGCAAATTCCATGTGGTCTTGCCCCTTTAAAACAATTCATGTTTTGGTTGGTTGGACAGATTGTTTGACTGCTGAGAATTGAACACCCATAGGGGGGAAGGCCTTAGAAGGGAAAGGGGGGAAAGGATCTCAACAGGGAATGGGGGGAAGCGATCTTAGGGAGGAAAAGGGAGAAGATCTCAGGGGGGGGGGGAGAAAAGGCCTTAGGGGAGAAAGGGGGGAAAGGATCTCAACAAGGAAAGGGGGAAAAAATCTTAGAGGAAAAGGGGGGAGATGTCAGGGGAGAAAAGGCAAAGGATCTCAACAGGGACAGGGAAGAAAAGATCTTAGGGAGGAAAAGGGAGAAGATCTCAGGGGCGGAAAAGGCCTTAGGGGGGAAAGCGGGAAAGGATCCCAACAGGGAAAGGGGAGAAGGCCTTAGGGGGGAAAGGGGGGAAAGGATCTAAACAGGGAAAGGGGGGAAAAGATCTCAGGGAGGAAAAGGGGGAAAATATCTCAGGGGGGGAAAAGGCCTTAGGGGGGAAATGGGGAAAAGGATCTCAACAGGGAAAGGGGGGAAAAGATCTTAGGGAGGAAAAGGAAGATCTCAGGGGGGAAAAGGCCTTAGGGGGAAAGAGAGGAAAGGATCTCAACAGAAAAAGGGGGGAAAAGATCTTAGGGAAAGGCCTTAGGGGGGAAAGGGGGGAAAGGATCTCAACAAAAAATAAGGGGGAAAGATCTTAGGGAGGAAAAGGGGGAGAAGATCTCGGGGGGGACGGGGGGGAAAAGATCTTAGAGGGGAAGGGGGGCAAGGGGACAATTCCAAAGGGACGCAAATAAGAAAGCAATGTCGGAGGCCTGAGCCGGAGGCGTTAAAATAAGGGTAGCCGATGTTTTTCTCTGTAGTCTATTTTAGTAGGGGAACCCTCCCCCCAAAAAAGGGTAAAAGGGCACTAGTGGGGCCCTAGTATCTTCACCCTGGCCTGACGAGTATTCGATACATTGACCCATCCAGACTGAATGCGTCAAAATCAAAACCATGGTTCCTCCTAACATGGCACCTGAGGTACCTGGAAGATCAGTTTCCTCTTGGAGGGACCCCCTGTCAAGTGCCATGTTAGTGGGAGAGAGGGTACCCATTTCTGGTTGGGACTGTCACTTACTGAGAATCAACTGCCTGAGTTTTGAGGACGTTGCTCAATCGGCGTGGCTCAATTGGCTTTGAGATCTTCCTTTTCCTCCCTAAGATCTTTTCCCCCCTTTCCCTGTTGAGATCCTTTCCTCTCTTCCCCCCTAACGCCTTTTCCCCCCTGAGATCTTCCTTTTCCTCCCTAAGATCTTTTCCCTCCTTTCCCTTTTGAGGTCCTTTCCCGCTTTCGCCCCTAAGGCCTTTGCCGCCCCTGAGATCTTCTCCCTTTTCCTCCCTAAGATCTTTTCTCCCCTTTCCCTGTTGAGATCCTTTCCTCTCTTTCCCCCTAAGGCCTTTTCCCCCCCCCCCCGAGATCTTCCTTTTCCTCCCTAAGATTTTTTCCCCCCTTTCCCTTTTGAGATCCTTTCCCGCTTCCCCCCCCTAAGGCCTTTTCCGCCCCTGAGATCTTCTCCCTTTTCCTCCGTAAGATCTTTTCCCCTCTGTCCCCCCCTTTTCCTCTAAGATCTTTTCCCCCTTTCCCTGTTGAGATCCTTGCCCCCCTTTCCCCCCTAAGGCCTTTTCCCCCCTGAGATCTTCTCCTTTTTCCTCCCTCAGATCTTTTCCCTAAGGCCTTTTGCCCCCTCTAAGATCTTCTCCCCCCTTTCCCCCCTTCCCCTCCCCACCCTTCCCCCCCTTGTAATATCTTTTCCCCTCCCCGCCTTCACCCCCGAAGATCGGTTTTCCCCCCAAAGATTTTTTCCCATTCCTAACATGTGTTCCCCCCCTTCCCTCCCCCATAACATCTTTTCCCCTCCCCTTTCCCGCCAAAGTTTTTCCGACCTTTCCCCCTCTCACCCTCATAAGATCTTTTCCCCCCTAAGATCGTTTTCCAACTTTCCCCCATGTTTTCCTACATTTCCAGACTTGGGTGACATTCCCAGCATCACTTGCATCATCCGCATCCTTGGCAGGCGCTTTTGCGGATGATGCAGGTGATGCTGGCGATGCTGCCCATGAGCTGCTACGCATTTTTTGTTTTATGCAACTGTGTCCCGTGCAGCCCCCAGAAGAAAGGATTTAGTGGATCGTCTTGGAATCACCGCGTGGTACGTGCCCCCCCCCCCCGCCACCCGAGTCTGAAACCGTGCTGTGGGGAGGGGTCAGGGGAGGGGTAACAGGTAAAGAGGTAACACGCTGTCTTGTCGGCGGGCTCTAACCTCTCGACCCAAGGACCTAGGAATACGTCGGCGGTTTTCTCATTCCCTCAGACGCAGCTGCGGGACCTGCGAGCGCTGGGCGCCCAGCTGGAGCCCGCCTTTGCCTTTGACACGGAGGCGAAGCCGGAAGCGTTTTGCTCCCCCAAAAACCCCACGTGATTTTTGTTTGGCTCAAACTTAGGGCGACCCAAAGAAATGAGCCGTTTCCTTTTGGCGTCCCAAAAGGGTTCTTTTTACAGGTATTCCAAGAGAGGAAATCCACCAGCGTGGGAGTCGCCTGAAAAAAGAAAGACCAAAGCGAGCGCACCGTGACCCATTGCTCCACGTCTTGTGGGAAGATGGGGCGCTTGATGTACATGTGCCCAAAAAGGCTTACGCGGAGAGGCATCATAGTTTTCCATGAGCATGGAACAGTCGAGCCAGTAAAAGAGAAGCACAACTGTCTCAGCCTGTGCAATGTCCATGTCAATATGAGTCTCCATGATTGTCAGGAGTTGTCCATATTGCCCTGTTCACGACCAGCAGAGCAAAGAAAACAGAGCGAGCATAATAGGTGTCCATTGTAAGGCATTGACGGAATTCCATTGGTTTCAGTTTGATTGCACTTACCAGGGGAATTTTTCTGCCAAAAGGCACCTAGATTCGCAGCTCTGCGCAGGACTACACCGTGCTCATGCCGGCCGAGCTTGATCGCAGCAGTCCGAGCGATGCGGTCAATCGACATGCAGCACCGTCCGACTTGCGAAGGCATGCCAAACACGGCAAGGCTTGATCAGCATTCGCTTCTTGGTACTGACTTCCTCCAAATCGAGCGTTTAAATGTGCAGCAGAATTATCCGAAGAGTTAAACAATGTCGTTCCCCAATGATTCGGAAGGATTTTTGCATTGCAACGTCCTTGTTTCAGAGACCTCGCTTGACGGAAGCTGAGGGCTACACATCGAAGCAGTGCTCCTGGACGCAGGACAGACTCTGGAGGCCCCTGCCGCGAGCGGGGGTGTGTCTCTAAATGTTTGTCTATCCCACACACTTCATGGGATATTTACCGACACGTACTTCATGGGTTAAAAGTTGGTGCCTAAATGGATTGGGCATGTGACTAGGACTGGAGCCACAAGAAAACGGTGAGTCGTCAGTTACCTAGATTTTGAAGGGGTCGGCTCAGACGGTTGCTGGGTCTGAGTGTTTTGCGAACATCAAACTGTACCGTGGTCGCTTACATGCTTATGTTTCCATCAACTTTTGATGGATGCTCCCGTCAAGTTTGCCACACACACAAAAGCACACCCACACAAAGACAAAAGTACGCACATACACACACACACACACACACGCATCGATACACTCGTGCACACGCACACAGATACACACAAACATACGTACACATGTACATACACATACACGTACACATATACACTTACACATGTATATACACACATACACGTACACATGCACAGACACTCATATACATACATACATGCGTACGTGCGTGCGTGCGTACGTACATATATATATACACGCACGCACGGCCCGCACGAATGCCACGTACGTACGTACGCACGCGCGTACGCACTCACGCTCGCACGCACGCACGCACAAATGCACGCACGCGCGCACATACATACACATACAGATTTACATACACATGCACATGCACATGCACATACACATACACATATACACATACACACACATACACACACATACACATACACGTACATACACACACACGTATATACATAAATACGTAGATACATACATACTTATTTTCATATACATATACATATAGACTTACACATACGCATGCGCATAAGGATACGCATCTGCATACGCATATACATACCTGCATGCACGCATGCATGCATACATACATAAACATACGCACACGCACATGAAGGGTTTTTCACACAAACACACACATACAAACACACAAGTACACGTACACACGTACATACGCATACACGCACGCACGCACACACACACATGCACACACACACATACACACGCATGCACACGCATACACTAAGTACGCACACACACGCACACGCACACACACACACACACACACATGCAGGCATACACATATAGAAACACACAAAACCACACCCACAAACAGACACAAGTACGCACACACACGCACACACACACACACACACCGATGCACTCATGCACACGTACACACATGCACACATACAGACATACACTCACACACACACATATACGCATACGCACACACCGAAAGAATCAAACACAAGCTCAGACACAAACACACCACACACATGTCTGCAAGAGTGGTCCAGCGCGTTGTGACAGACGCCAGGCGTTTTCTTCGCCCACCTCGGAGGCGCATCGACTTCGCATGGGCTCGCGACCCGAACATTGCCAAGCTGGGCCATCCAATTGCGACTGACAGCACTGGAACTGTTGTTTAATCAAAACTTAGTCGGGTTCAAATCAGGTTCCGATTCCTTGTGCCAAAGAAGAAACATTTGTGCAGCAATGGAAAGGAGCCAACTGTTGGAACCCATTCAACAGGTTGCCCGTCGCAGAATGTCAAGATCCTCGTTTAGGTTTTTCTTAGGGGCTCCTAGCCTGAACTAGTTGCTCTTCGTAGCATGACACATGTGTGCCCCGCTAAGATTCGCTCAGGGCACGTTGAAACATCCTTGGATCGTCAACCCGTCCACGGTTGTCAAAATATGTTATCCCATTGAGCGGATGAGACACTGACTCAAGTTGAATGAGTTCATTTGTGTTGTTTGGCACTTTCTGTACCAAGTTGGATTGCCATAGAAAGTGAACATGTTGTCATGATGCATGGGAATCCCAGTTTGGTACCGTAGACATGGCCGTTCGTTTAGTTTTCACTCCATGTCGCCGTCCTTGGCCCAAGATGTCGTTGGGAGGGGCAGACGCAGCTAAGGAAACTGCAGCTGGCTGATCAGCATCACATGGGTATGTGTCAACAATCGGCTTTGGACTTGTCCATCCATTTTTGTTGTTTTCCGTTTAGGTGTCCCTTGCAAGCAAGGGAATTGACGCTGAGAAAACACAAGCCCTCATGGGGCTCGACATGCTGTCGACTTCCCAGTCGCAGGTCGCAAAGTTGCTCCCCGCGCATTGCAAGAGCAACCAAGCTTCGGGTGTCAAAGGAAAGCAAGATGAAAGCCTCCCATGAGGGGTCCGTGCAACTTGAAGCCCTATCTTCCCTGAGATCCGGAGCTTTCGCGGCCGGCAGCGTCTTGGCCAAAGAGCCAAGGGACCCCATGCCATGCATGTCATGGAGCGCGGACCCCAGAGAGGGCTGGGGCGCCTTGCTGGGGCTGGGGGGATACTTTTGCGGCCTCAGTGCAGGTGTCCTTTTGACTGGAAACAAACGTGCGCCATGTGCGCCTAAAGAGGGTTACCACTTTTTGGGGGTCGGTTTGTTCTCCCGGAAGTGTTGGTAGAGAGATTCGCCCTGGTTCAATTTCGCACAGGCAAGCGGCAAAGCGTGGGAACTTTGTGGGATTTCTGTCCGGAGCGTCGCACAATTGCTTTGTGGGTGGGACACCTCCTTAGATCACATGAAAACTTGAATGGACTCGGCATGTCAACTATTTGTCCGGGTGGTTTTGCAGCATTCCCCACAAGGAAAACCTGAGTTCAAGACAAACCCGATTCCCCCTCCCAGAAAGAGGGGGGTGACAGCGACATTCAGTTGCCAATTTGGAATCACTCTCCTCTGCGGGGTGATGTTCATTGGTTGAAGCTCTAATATTGCCCTGCGAAATTGCTGGAAACAAGGCGAGGGGAGCGCTGTCCGCGGTCAGGCGATTGCGCGTCCCATGGTGTGCATTCAAGGCTGGCTGGGTGCGTTATCGGTGGAGCAGTTCCTTGAACCTGATCGAAGATTTCTTTCCCAGCCACATGGTCCACTTCAAACGCCTTCTTTGGCCTGGTTCCATCTAGGAGGAGTACCCTGTTTTGGCTTTTGGGTACCATAATTGCCCTTTCTTTCCGTGCCCGACAGATTTCGGTGCACACGCACGGCAGCAAGCCTTGCCTGAGTCACGTTCCAGGTGGGACCCTTCAATTGGTACTGTATGATAGACCGCCCGGCTCGGCGCTCAGAGGTTTCCGGCACCCAGCACTCCGTTCAGCTGGATTTTAATCGCGGTTCTGCAGTTTTGGGTGTTTCAACCGTATATTTGCCCATTTCATGAGGAGCTCGCCGATTCGTGGTCCACTGCTTGTCTGGCTTTGGAAATACTGACATTTGCGGAGACTCCCCTTTGGGGTACCAACCTTCTATCCCGGGGTTGCTGATATTTGGGGCAGGGTATCCTGGGCAGAGCTCCCCGTTGCGAGGACCCCAAAGCGCAAGGTGGGCACCCGGAGGAGCCGCGGAAGGGCTCGGTCGCTCGACGTTGAAAGCGCCGGGCAAAGGCCACGGATGAAAGCGGCGGAGATCAAGATGGCTGTGGGTCAAAATTAATCCACAAAAAAAAACCACACAAATTTTAGCCCATGTTTCCTTCTACCAGGGTTCCATTTTGGGTACCTACTTTCGACCCACAGCCATATGGGCATGATTTTGTATTTAGGAAGCGATTGATTTCATGGTCGCCAGGCACTTTTCAGGTGATCCCCCATTGAAATCGTGTCTTGTACCGGTAGGGTTTTTCCCCCAACAGTTGCAAGTTTTGCGGTCGCAGTTGGGGATACCACCTGGGTGACATTTTTTGAGGGGGTGGTGTGAAAATGGGCAAAGGGAAGCAAACCACTCTGGAGGTTCCCCAAATTTGAGACAAGGCTCGTTGCAACATGGGCGTTGCGTTCGGCAAGGAGACTTTGCCTGATGAACACCAGGCTGGGACTTTGGCCATTCAATATCTAATATTGTGGCTGGTTTTTTCGCCTCGGAATTTGGGGACAGATGTGGACTGGAGGACCTTGTGTTTTCATCCCTTGTTTCTTTGATCAGGAAGCTCTGGGAACACCCAAAGGGGCCTTCTAGGCACTTATGTGCATGTTACTGCATGTTGGTGGTTGACCGGAACTTGGCCGGATATTATTGTGATGCTTCATGTGTGGCATCATTAATTCTGATAGTGATTGTCGGTATCAATGTAATGTGTATGTTACTTATCATTGCGTCTGTTGAGATGTTGTTATTATTGCATTTGTTTTGCGAGTATTGTTGTTGTAGCGTAATTCTGAATGCTTGATACTTTCGCTCCTGGATTGCCATTGATGCCTCCAGATGTGATTTGTCCTTTCAGCGAGGGACCATCAAGCAGAGTAACAGGAGCATCATCCAGGCTTTTGAGACAAAGTGGGACGGCACGCTTGGATCAGGCGCAAGGAATAAAACTCTTGCAATGAACATGGGTTGCCCAGGAAAAGGGGGTCCTCCAAGAATAGAGTCCATTCCTACCAAGGGATCGCTTTTTGGGGTCCTTCCATTAATCCGGAGAACTTTGCTCGGGAGTTTGTTTTGAATGCCCACCTGTAGATTCCCCGTTTGACTCCTTTCAAGCAGCGCTTAAAGTGGGGAATCCACTGGTACCTACTTCACGCAATGCACAGATGGCTTCGTAAGATGCAACAGCTTTGGAGAACTCCCTCATTAAAACTGCATTGGCTGAGACTCCAACATGTTACAGCACCACCTACATTGTCAAATCCAAGCCATGGAGGCGTAAACCACTTGATTTACAGTTGGGTGAAAGTAGATACCACCATTCCCTAGCTTGGGAAAAGGGGATGCCTAGCCCAAACAAGGACAAGTGTGCCATCTACTTTCACACAACTTTCCAATGTACCGAGCTAGCGTTCACTCAACTGTCCCATTTTTGTACCAACCACTGGGCACCCACTGCATCCAACACGTGGAGTACTGCCTGCTTGCGCGCGCGCGTCCTGATCGCGAGGCCTCCACGCCGGGCACTGAGAAAAACAAAAAAGCAAAACACGCAGTTCAAAGGCGGTGAAGCCAACATCCGACGGGTGGGTTTTGTTGTTAGACTGTCGTTCCTTTGGGTTTTGGTTGGTTTCCCGAAATGGAGTCCGGCAGTCGACCCGCTTCGAGTTCGGGCGCGATTTTTGGGGGGCGCCGACGGGAGGAGAACTGGGTGGGCTGGTTGGGTCAATCCGCGACAAATTTGCGTGGACCCCAAAAGGCTCAAGGAGCCCAACATCTCGCAGCTGAGAGGAGCCCGCCCTCCAACCGCACCCCCCTCCCAGCCCACCCACAGCCATCAATCGATTTCGCTTGAAGGTGGTGGGATTGGCTCACCTGGCTGGCCGGTTTTCTGGGTGTGGCCCGGCGCCCCGGCGCTGAGCCATGGAAGCGAGCGAAGCGAAGGGAAGCGAAAACCTTGGGATGAGACTTGGAAAATCAAAGAAAACCCATGCCGGCCGTTTGGTTTGTTCTTCATTTTTGGAGGGGGGGGTCGCCCCTATGTGTTGTGTTTCAAGCGGAGGGGGGGGGGGGGTTCGCGCTATTGTTGAGAAAGGTCTGTGGCAGTTGAGCCTGAGTTTGTTGGTGCCAGTTCAGATCCCGCGCGATTCCTTTCCTAAGATTCGCCCAGCTAGTGGAGGGGACAAGAAAGCAGCGGACCATAGGTGGTGCAACACTACTCTTACAGACAGCTTCCCACATAGATGGGAACCGATAGATGGTAGATGAGACCCACAGGCAGAACCGAAGCCAGCAGTTGCCCATTTAAAGAGCGAAATCCTCTTCCCAATCGGAGCTTTTATGGAATCGCTTGAGGGAGGGTAGATAGATTTGCGAGTTGGATAGCTTCAGAATTGTGTTTGTCATTTAGATAGCTTTTATCTAAAGCAACACTTTTGAGGGAAGACTCCCAGCAGTTGCTCATCGCCAAAGATCCCATACAGATGGTAGACGATAGATAGTAGGTGTTGCTTTTGTAATAGTGTGTGTGTGAAGATATTCAATCAGCTATGTATCTATGAAAATGCTGGACGAGCAACAAACAGCCGATTAGAGATAGATGGTCCACGCTAGTGCTTTTTGTTTCCCTGTGGGTCTTCCTTGGACGAATGGTAGATGGCAGACGATCTCATTTACATTATTCTGCGGCTGGACGTACATGCCATGCACACGCTGCTGGTATATGATTGACGCCAACTTAAATGATCAAACATAATGATCAGGAACACTTACCTCCTGTCCACTAACATGGAGCCCTCCAAGGGCCGTTTTCAAGCAACATCGTCCAAACCATGACCCCGAAACGTCAGGTTCCATGGCAATGTGGATTGAGGGTAAGTTTGGATTGGTGGTTCGAGGATCGGAACCCCTGGTTCTTGCAGAGGTTTAATGGGAAACAACCCCACCCCACCACACCACCAATCTCCAAACCACCAACTGAGGACATGTGTGTCTTCCAGGACCCCAAGAACGTCAGGTTCCATGTCAGTTGATGAGTGGGTACATGTTAGACAGATCCACAGAACTAAGTTCAGATCCCAAAACGATCCACATCGAGGTGCTCCTCCTGGGATTGCTCAGCCTCTGGGTCCAGCGTGAGGCACCGGGCGACGAGAAGCTCCGGTGGATCACGTGCCATGTCTCTGGTCAAAAAGGCGAAAACCTAGCAACCAATCGGCCGAAATGTGTCCAAGCCCCATAAATGGCGAGGTGAAAACTAGATCAAATGAAGGGAAGTATCCAAGCTGTGTCAAAACCTGAGAAATGTATGTGCGTCAAATTGAAGGAAGTGCATTGTTTTTGTTGCGCATTGTCGCCGTGTCCGTCTTGCTTGGTTCATTTGTAGCCGCGAAGAATGATTCCGGGTTCCAATTATTGATCATTCTTTGCAAGCACTGCTTCTTTGGCTTTCAACCACTACACAGTTGCTGCTATGAGGAACCCCCCATATTTGGAAAGTATGACATCTGGGAAACTTTACTGCTCTGCCATGAAAGGGTCCCAGGTCGCACGGCTTCCGTTTGAGACTTTTTCTTTTTCTTTTTTTTCGGGCAGCTGGCCGCTTTCGCGGGCGCAGCTCGAGCGGGCAGGTCCTTCAAGTGACACACATCGAGCAGGCGAACCGGCCCGGACCGAGAGGGCAAAGTTCCATGGGCGGACAATCATGAGTGGTTGCCATACTTGTCAGCATCATGTTCGTGATAACCATGCGGATGATGCTGTTGATGATGATGATGATGATGATGATGATGATGATGATGTTGATGACGATGATGATGATGACGATGATGATGATGATGATGACGATGATGATGATGATGATGGTGGTTATGATGATGATGATGATGATGATGATGATGATGATGATGATGATGATGATGATGATGATGATGATGATTATGATGCTGATGATGATGACGACGACGATGATGATGATGATGGTGGTTATGATGATGATGATGATGATGATGATGACGATGATGATGATGACGATGATGATGATGACGATGATGATGATGATGATGATGGTGGCTATGATGATGATGATGATGATGATGATGATGATGATGATGATGATGATGATGATGATGATGATGATGATGATGATGATGAGCATCATCATTTCAATCACTGTCACTGCTGTGATTAGCAGTCTTGTCATTCTCACTGCCACTACTATAGTTATCGCGATTAGCATTGTTCTGTTTATGACACACACAAACACACATATTGTGATATCAAAGAGTGCACACCACTACTAGTCTCCTTCCAAGCTCGGAAAGAGGCGCCGTTTTCCAGCTAGGGCGGGAACCTGCAGGCGGATCTGCAGGGGTTGAAAATAGCTGAAGTTTGCCCGCGGGTCTTTCTCCGAAGGGGAGGTGGAACTGCCCGCTTCTGGGTGGCTTCTGCTTCAAAACGACGGGCAAAAGGGCGCCAACTGCCGGGCCTTAAACCTGCTGGCATCTTGCATGTCTGCCGCTGTGACACACAGCCAAGAGAGACCGATCGCATGCACCCAGACAATATGATTCGTGCACGCACAAAGGGAAGCTGCTTGTTCTTGTCCTCCGGGGTTTTGCTGGTGCTTCTCCCCCAAAACGCCTCCACAAGCAGACAATTGGCTACTGTCTTGGATCCTACAGTTTCCCTCCCTGTGAATACTGCGCCACTTGTCATCGCTGATATGCGCTCTAATTGTGGATTACTATGTGCATGCAAATACTTTCATTTACATAATCATTCACACCAGTGCCCTACTAGATACATGTACACTTGTCACTGTACAAATTTTCATAGAGATGTACAGACTCAGATATTTGCCATTTATCGCAATTGGAGAGTATTCGAGATGCCTGGCATATGGGTGTATCTTCTTTGAGGGGAAGCAAGTCCAACGGGAGAAAGCAAACCGAAGGTGCTGGGCGGCCTTGCCTCCATTGTGGCGTTGGGCCGGTCGGTGGCCCACCTCTTCAGGCGGTGAGGGGGTGGGAGGGGTGGGAGGGGGTGAGCGGGGTGAGGGGTGCTGGGGTCGGGGGGTTAGGTTTTGCTGGCGGGGTGGGAGGGTTGGGAGTTTGGGTGGCCACTTGATTGGGTTTCCTTTTTGGGTTGCCTCAAAATGAGGAGGGCTTTTTTTCGGGATGGGTTTGCAGGGCAACCAAGCAAGCGAGACCGGCGGAGGAAGCAATGACTTGCACCATGGCAACCCTCGCATGTGAATGGGAGACAAGATGCCGTCCCACGCTGCTCCCTCTTCCGAGAGAAACCTGGTGGCATTGGGAGAAACAGCAGGGGACCGCATGAGTTGTGCCCATCGCCTTTGCTCATAAATTTGTGAGGAGAGATCCGGGGCGGGGAGGGACGACCAGGGCGTGGCTGGGAGAGGATGGGGTTGCTGGCGATGCACTGGATGCTGGAAATGCAGGGGATGTTGGAAAGTTGGGAACGCTTTGAACTGCTGGGAATGCATCTCATGCTGGCGCATGCCCAGCATACTCACATTCTCGATTTACGCCGGCATGTCTTGCACTTTCCTGCGCAGTTGTTCATTGACAAGTTGCTCAAGGCGGTGACCCTTTTCAAGTCCTCCTCTGAAGGCACCGAGTTTACGATTTCCAAGCAAAGCCGCGCTAGTTGAAGAACTGCACGCGGAAGAGGGTGTACAATTTGCTGGGTTCAATCATCTTCGTGTACAAATTCGTATCTCAACAGGACCCAGTTGGACTGAAAGCAACCTGTATGTTTTTGTTGTACTACCTTATTCGTGGGCGGCTTGGGATTTTTGCGAATCGTGACCCAATTGTTCAAAGAACACGGAAGGAACTGGATTCATCTAGTCCTTTGTGGCTGGGATTCGTGGTTGCTCAGGCTGCTCTGCTTCTTGCAGAGGACAAACGCGAAGCCACATCCTCAACCTCCAAACCACCCATCCAAAGACCAAACCCTTTGTGATTTGGAGTGGTGGTTTGCTCCCTGCTTCTTGTAGATAAACAAGAAAGCACCAATCCAAACGGAAGCTAAACTTTTCGCAGGCACCGCCGCAGCAGTGCCGGGCTGCGCCGTTTCACGCCTCGCATCCTATGGGCCTGGGGCCTGAGGTAGATGGGATTCAAGCGCGCCGGTGTCGCCTTCGTTTGTTTCTTTTTGTTTTTTTGGGGGGGTTCAGTGGTCCTGGCTGGTCTTTTTTCGGTTGTTCATGTTCCCCTGATGTCGGTTTCGCAGGTCCCAGCTGGTTTCTTTTCACTTGTTCCCGTTCTGGTTTCCCGAAAGGCCTTTCTGGTGGTGTTCTTTTGGATGTCTGATGTCCGTGTTTCCCGTTGGTTTCTCGTCAAAGCAATCAACAAATGGTACCTTCCACTGGGCCGGTTTCGGGAAGCCTGTGCTTTCCCTTTAACACCACCCAAGGTGCCCTCAAAAAGAGACACCTATTCCTAGCGGTTTCAATTTCATCCTTTACCAGCATAATTTACTGGTATTTTTCAATAGGATTGGACCTGTTAATACTACCAACCGCTATGTGTGAAGTATTATTTGGCAGAATGTGCCTAGTATTCCTCTCTGCCAATCTTCCCCAAGGCAAGAGGATCACCCTCCCAGCGAAATGCGACTGCCAACCTGTTGCGAATACCACTAGGCTTGTTTGCCAAACATCTTTGATTGACTCAGCACCCACCGAAACCCCTCTTGACAAGCTAAACCTCTGAGGATCCGGCTGATCTATTGCCCCATCAAATTTCGTGCATTGAGTTCCCCGACCTTACTCTTGGTTTTTGCGAGGGGGGCTTGGTGCTGTTCATCTTCATGGGGGTTCTTGTCGTTCTATGTAATGTTTTTGTTGTTCAATGCTTTGCAGTGATTCTTCTTGCAGGATTGCTTTAAGCAGCACCCATCCAACCGGATATTCAATTGGCCCAAAGCCTAGCCTGGCATTGCGTGGAGCGAGCAGCACCCTTTCGTCCGGTTAGGGGGCTCTTCAAAGGCTAGGCAATGAGAGAAATTAGGACCCCCTACCATGCAGGTGATTCCCATCTACACCATCGACTCATGGACGTGCTTACTGGCAGAGGCCGGTTGCTAGTGACCTGCTAGTGGCTTTCGAGGGCCGGAGCTCCTTACGTTTGGTCGTGGACCGAGTTTCAATCGAACGCTAAAGGATCCCAATCGATGAGTACTCCTTGTGCACTGTGAGATGTGACTTCACACTCGGGGGAACAAACAGAGCCTTTTGAAGCATTTCCCCTGGGAATCCTGTACTTGTGGGCGAAGAAATGAGGAATACATGAATAGTAGACAGCCTCCCTGCTCCCTCCCCTGATCAGATCTGAACGACATCCATCGAGCGCAAGTCATCAAACTTTCCAACGTGTGACCTTTCAAACCAGGTGGAACCCTGAATATTCTCGGACTCCATCCCTAAACCACCTGCCCGCTTGCTTCTTATGACCCACTCACTCCGAGCGCATAGGGCTACCCGGGCTTCTGGGTGATGCTGGTGCATTGCCTCCGCGAGGTGTCCGAGGCTCCAGAGACGGGCTCCAGGTGGCTTCGTGTTTTCTTGGCTCGGTACGGGTCCCTAAAAGGAGGGGGTGGTTCTAAGGGACAGCCAAAGGGAAATGCCACGTGGCAGGGTCCTGTTGGCTGCGAGGGGCAACAAAAAGGTTCATCTATCTGGTCGGAGGGCTCCAAGGCGAACTCCCCGAAAGGTCGGCTCGAAGAATCGCTTGTTGGAAACCACCTGTTTTTATTGAGCTTTTTGGAGGTTCAAAGGGCTTGCGGTTGGAACAAACAGCACCTTGACGGCCTCAACTGAAAGGCGTCGTTCTCAACTGAAATGATCCAAAGGCATTCTGTCCTCCCTCCGGTGTTCATCCGTTTTTCACTTAGGGGATCCCTTGAGGCCATCGGCCGGGTACGAAACCAGACTTGGGACTGGGGATGATCCACTTTTTGAATTTATATACACCTGTACGGATCCGTGCGCAAGAGAACCACGACCATGACCGCACTGGAGTTTGGACCCGGAGCAGGGCCTGACCCTGGACGTCCATTGAACTTCAACCCCTTCTCCTTTGGTCGGACTGAAAAAGAGAGTTTGTCGACCAACTCACCATTTCTCCCATGCCCTTTTTCTTCTTCTCCTTTCTCAATTTGTGGAAACACTATTTCTCTTTTCTTCTTCGACTTCCTCCATGCCCGGTCTTTGGGCAAGACATATTGCTGGAACGCCATTTCAGGCTCAGGTTGCGGCGCCATTGGGTCGATTTATCGATCGCTCGCCATGCGCCATGGCCAAGTTCTTGCCAGGCCCTGCGTTCGGCTTCGACTCGAAGTTTTGGCGCAAATCGGACCCGAAGCCCAGGAAAGTCCTTGGTTCAAAACAAAGACCATATAGATGTCCTTTTTGGTTGTTTTGGTAGAAAGATAGATGGTCCTGGTTTACGTTTAATCATCTACCAGGGCCATCTATTTCCCCTAAAAAGGACACCTATGACAAAGACCCTGTCTGGGCAAAGGAAGGGCTTTTAATTCTTGGCAAGATGCTTGTGTTGACCGATTCCCTTGGTTGAAGATATACAAAGCCCTTCTTTGCGGCTAGAAATCCTTTTGGAGGGTCCATGTCAAAAGGAAAACCCTGTTCGAAGCTGAAGTTCCACTCCAAGTTAGAACAAGTACTGCACGGGAAAAGGACGTTCCGCTTTTGCAACCTACAGAAGGATGTTGGTTGAAATAAAGGACTCCTGGTAACCTGCAGGTTTTGCTTAATCAATGGAAGATGTGTTTCCTTTGTTCACCGGGGTTATTCTCCCGCAAAACAAACGGATGATGCTCCTATTTTGAGACAGCCCTTTGTCACAGCGTCTAATTTGCACGTGCTCAACTAAGAGAACCAGGACCATAACCACTGTCCGGAGTTTTGACCCTGGCCCACATGGTTCAGGTTTCAAACCAGGTTTCAGTGAAGCAACATTTAACCTCCAAATCACTAATGAGCAGCACCCAATTGAGGAGAAACATTTAAAGAGAATGAATAAGTGTTGAAAGGGACCATAATCTCCCCCCACCACCCAATTTAAGCGTACCAGTCTGGGAGCCCATTTTAGCAACCATTTTTTCCAGACCGCAACACGCACGTCTTTTGTTTTAGTATAACACACCATGTCTGCCCTTAATAGGTGGTTTGGATTGGTGGTTTGGGGGTTTGAACGGACCTATAGTAGAGGTACTAAGATAGCGCCTCAAGCTCCAAACCACCGGCTCCACACCATTCGTCAGCTGAATGTCTAGGCGTGGGTGAAATCACCACCATCGTCGAGAGCACTGGCAAGCTCCTGGCTGCTGGCTGTACGGCGCCCTTCGACCCAGACACCGGGAGGACGCCTCCGCAGCTGCGAACCGCAAACCGAGCGACGGAATTCGTAGTGCACGCTGACCGAATGTGCGCCCTGGTCCGCTTTTCTTTCCATGCAACCTGCAAAGGGCGAGAAGCTCTTCCTGACAGGGGAAGAGCTACCAAGCGAAGAGGCCATGATTGCGGGAGATTATGATGCCGAGGGAAAACAATCAAGGTTTGATGGGAAAGGGAAATTATAAGTTCACATTTCAGCCAATGTATGGCGAGCTCGCCGATCCGGAGAAAAACAAGCTCACCATGACAATGGTCCATCAGGTTCATATGTCCAGTTTCCTTTTTTGTACCTTCAGGTAATCCTCGGCATTTCTGGCTGCTTCCATGCTTATTTTGGGCAATGGTTGGTTTTGCGATGCCCTGTTCTGCGATACCAAAGTGGGATATGGTGATGGGAATCGCCAACCTTGGTATCACCATCCTCCGTTTCCTCAAGAAACAGACACACCCATTTGGGGTACAGAAGATGATGGCTTGAAGGGAAGGCAACAGGAGCCCGCTGACGCAAACGCCATGGCATGAGATTCTGTGAACAGCTCAACCTCAAGATGTTGCAGCTAGTGAATACAACTGCGGTCAGGTCCACAACCTGACCATCTTACCTCTCACAACATGCTTCAGCTACTTGCCCTGATATCTTGGCGATGGGCCTGACGCGTAGTATAAACAATGCATATGCAGAGGTAAGTAGACAGGAGTCGTGTTGTTTTTGATAAGAAACAAAACATCATCATCATCATCATCATCATCATCATCATCATCATCATCATCATCATCATCATCATCATCATCATCATCATCATCATCATCATCATCATCATCATCATCATCATCATCATCATCATCATCATCATCATCATCATCATCATCATCATCATCATCATCATCATCATCATCATCATCCGCATCATCATCATCATCATCATCATCATCATCATCATCATCATCATCGTCATCATCGTCATCATCATTATCATCATCATCATCATCATCATCATCATCATCATCATCATCATCATCATCCGCATCATCGTCATCATCATTGAATCGTCATCAACAACAGCAACCGCAAAGAACAACCCCAACCGACCCATGAATCAGCGCTTACAGAAAGCAGCTGCATTGCACTCGAACAGAAAAGAGGTCAGATGGGGGAGCGGCCCATCAGGAAGCTGCTGACCTCCGCGGGCGCGGCCTGGCAGGCGTATTCGCAGGAAAACCTCGTGGCCTGCTTGGTGCAGGGGGACTCCGAAGGCATCGCCAAAGGCGCTGCACGCGGCTGTCGTCGTTATAGCTTTGCTCACACCCGGCTACCCTCCCACCAGCTAACATAAAAGTGCACAGACCCCTGTAGAAAGACTACTTTCCTCTTGGAAAGGGCCTTTTTTCACTTCCATGTTGGTTGGTGGGAGGGTATCAGACGGATGGGCTTGCGCTTAGCATGGGCGAAGAAAAAAAGGGGACAGGTGCAACCATCCCTTGAGGTCGAACCTGGGCAGCTTTTTTTCTTACACAGGATGGATGTGGGCAGTGTTGCTCCCAAAGGATAGGTCCCCAAAACAGTTCGCCTGAAGCGGCTTCACGAGGCTCTCAAGTTGAGCATCAAGTTTGATCTATGCAGGCTCAGCGTTCCGTTTTGGGCGCTCGTTGTTGAGGCAACCATTCTGGCCCACTTAAATTACATGGGCAGTCCATAGCTTGCAGCCCCGTTTTGGGACCAAACATCAAAACCACTGGAAACCCGTGCAGCGAAGCGTCGACCGCGCCTTCCGCGCCTGACTCGCTCGCTCCCTGCAGGCGCAGACGCCTTCTCGCAGAGCTGTCCCATCGTGGCGCACGCCCGGGGCTTCGTTCACTTGGCGCGGGGCGACGCGGGGGGCTACGAATGCCTGGCCAACGGCACCAAGGCGAGCCCGACTCCGAGGGACTCTGCTGGTCTGTCTGTTTTTGGCGGTGGCTATATTCCTTTCGGTGGTTGGTTTTTGAGGGACACCAAAAGGCAAACCGAAGAAGCCATTTTGGGGGTCCGATTCCAAGACCGAAATGGAAAAGCCAGTTGAGATGTGTTTAGCCCCTTGTGGACTTTTTGGATCGCACTGTACGAACTAAGGCAGTAGCACCCCTTACGGGCAATTTTGGATTTAAATCCAGATCACTCTTACTCCGCGAGTATTCCGACGCACATGGAGATATGGTTTCTCATTCAAATTTGCTCTTGGTTCGAACAAGATTGCCTTTGGGCTTTTGGAAAGCCATGTTATAGGAAGAACACCTGTCAGTGAAAGGGTCAATGTACAACTGAGGGGCTGAATAATCACTGGCAAATGACTTAATTTAGGTAAAACGTTACCCCTAGCCCCGTTTTCGTTAAAATCAAAAACACGTAAGTCACTCTACGACACATATCATGTATCACATCTTCCAAAAACCAAACATACAAACATACATGAATTCCATTCAAACAGATACCCACCCAGCAATTAACATGGAACCCGACAGGGCCCTTAAAAGGAAGATGGTCAACCAAGCCTCCCCTGTCGGGTTCCATGTGAAAAGGGGGGAGGCTATAAACCTAGGGCTACCTTTCATTTCCATTCCTTGCAGGGATGCTTCTTTTCAGGAAGCCATCAAAAACCCAGGGGAAACCGCCAGTTTTGAAAAGAACCATGGTTGAAAAGACTGGAAACCATCAACAACCCAGGCGAATCACCCCTGCCCCAGCCCAGGCGGCTGGCCTCATCGCTGCCACCACCGTGGCAGCTTTGTCCACTGGCGGAGCGGCCGCCGTGGCCTTGAGCGCCGGGGTGGCTGCGGGCACGCAGGCGGGGCAAAGATGTCAGCCATGATCTCTGCCCGTTGGAGTCTTTGTATATGTTTACTGCATGTGTATATATGTATATACGTATATATATATGTATACATAGATACATACTATATTTGTTTTATAGTTGTGTGTCGTTTTTTAGGAATCAGATCCCCCAAGCTAACCTCCCACACTCCCACCCTCCCACTGAGAAAACAAGGAACCTGACGTTCATTGACAAGGGGTCCTTTTTGATTCTCTGCATATACTCTCCGACCCTTTTCACATGGAGCCGTTCGACGTTCCGGAAACTGTCCCTACAAGGAACATGGTGCAAACCAGGACCCCCCGCCGAACTTCGAACGGTTCCATGTTAATTTGTGGGAGGGTATATATAAATAAATATAAATATATATATATATATGTATATATGTATGTATGTATATATATATATACATATATATATGTATGTGTGTATACATATACATATATATATATATACTTGCAGAATCGGACTCCCCCAAAGAAAAAAGACAATGGCGCAACGATCGTTGTCCTTTTGGTTTCCCTTTACACGCCACATATGTGTTTGCGTGTGTCTTTTTGGAGAAGGTATCGATGTTTTGGTGGCTAAAAAGAAGGGAAATCAAAAGGAACACGATGATTGCGCCATTTTGGAGGGGTCGGATTCCTAAAACCACATGCCCATTTTTTCTGAAAACTAGGGGGACCCGAAATTGGGGAAGTGTGCCTTTTTGTTTCTTCTACAAAGGTCACAAGGGAGTGTCCCAAAAAGAAGGCCCACCCATATTTCTCAACCAAGGGAACCTTCCAAACTGAATAGTGTCTTTTCCGTTGGTTTCCTTTGAAACCATGGAAACAAAAGAAGAGGGGGGGTAGCCTCAAAAAATATGTTTCTCAATTTTTCTGTTGTTTTGCTTTATCCGAAAAGCGGAAGAGGGGGGGGTATCCTCCAGACTCCACACCCACGGCTTGTTTTTGGCCAGGTGGCGCTGGACGGCGTGGACTCCGCAGCCCGCAGCGCGGCGGCCGGGGAGTTCCAAGCCGCGGGGACCGTGGCTCGGTTCGAACAGCCCCGGTTCAAGGGGAAGTGGGCAGAGAGTTCCGTGGTGTTCCTTGGGTTGTTGGGGTTCTTTGGGGTTGCTCAGGGTTCCTTGTGGTTCCTACCAAAAGACACGACCCATTTGCAGAGAGTCAGGTAGGTACTGCGGGGGTAATTAGCTGAGAGACCAAGGGTTCCTTTCCTTTTGGTTCCTTTGGGAGCCTTTGGGTTGGTTCCTTTTGCTTCCTTTTGGTTCCATGAGAGCCTTAGGGTTCCTTGGGAGGTTTAGGGAACCCTCCTTGGACTAGCCTCTCTTTGAGGATTCCATAAGTAGGTGGGCGTGTCTTTTGGTACCCGCACCCATTTTTGGTGGTTTAAAGGGAAACCAAAAGGAATGCCACGATTTTGGGGTCCGATTCCCAAACAAAGACACACGCAGGTACCCCTCAGTTGGTTTGTATTGATGGTTTGGGGTTTGAACCCCTGGTTCTTGTAGAGGATAAATAGAAAACACCGAATTAACCTTCAAATCGCCAATCCAAGTCACCAATCAAGATAGTTTTGTTGCTCAACCAGATCTGACCAAAAAGAATTCACAGTTGTTTGGTTCTACGTTCGGATGCACCCTTCTAGCGTGTTCCTTATTTCTCTAACCTTCTTGCACCGTCCAAACTTGGCTCACTGGTGTTTTCCTTGGAAAGTCCCTTACCTTTGGCCCGCAACCCTTAATTATTTCTGCCTTACAACCTCTTCCCAGAAAAGACATTCTGTCTACCTCTTTGGCACTCTAGCACACACCAGCAGGCAGGTTTTGGTTGAAACACGGAGCGGTTTCGGTGAAACACCTGTCTTTGTACCTCTTGACTCTCTCCAAAAAAGAAAAAAGAAAAACACCCGCCGGCCGCCGGTTGGCCCCAAAAATAGCGGGGGGGGGGGGAGAGTGGCCGCGTTTTCTCCAGCGCAGGTCTTGGGCGCCCAGCGCGCGTGGCGCTCCTGGGACGCGGTGCACATCGCGGAGGCGCTGCTGGCGCCGCTGCAGACGGCCGCGGTGGCCGCGGTGGGCGCGGATGTGGGGCGCCTGCTGGCGCCCGTCGACGTGGAGACGGCGGCGGGGGTGCCTCTGCCTGAGGCGAGAGCGCCCGTCGCTGGGGGTAGGGTGAGAGTTATTTGCAGGGGGTCCTTTGTTAAGAAGGGAAGGCCGATGGCCAATTTAGGGCAGGCTCTACTCTTGCAACTTCAGAGGGCAATCGCGTGGCGCAAGGGCTTTACCATGTTCATCGACTCCATGCATTCGTGAGGATGAAAAGGGGCATATGCAACCGATCTTTGCAATCACAGCTCAATGGGTCAAATGGCAGGTCCCCTCAAACTCTGTCATGGCACCAACATCTTTTCATTGACTTCGAGCTGCCATTCTTGAAGCGAATGTGGGTATATGTATAATATACATATATATATATATATATATAGAAATGTATGTGTTTGGGGAAAGCCACCGGGTAGGACGTGAGATGCGTGGTGCAGGTGCCGATGAGCAACGGGCCCAGCGTGGTGGCGCAGCTCTCAGTGTCGCTGGCCACCGAAAGCTGTTCCGCCAGCTTCAAGGACGAGGCTTCCCCGCGGGGAAGGAGCCGCAAGTTGGAGGCGCGAAGCTTCGAAAGTCGCATATTTTTGTTGGACCAATGGTGGGCGGCAGTTTCTGACAGCTGGATATTTCTCAAAGTTGGGGACCCTCCAGGGAAGTGGGTTCCTGTGGGTTTGCTTTCAAAATCATCAAAAAAGTACCTCTTTTGAGACACATCCAGCTGGTAGCATTTGGCGCCAAGTGAAATCCCCGGTGTCTGGAGATGGGAGCACATCAAATCTGGATCAGCGTGGAAAATAAGAACCCCGGGTCAAAATTAATCCACCAGGGAACCGCAGGTTGTTGTCCATGTTTCCATTTACCAGGGTTCCATTTTGGGTACCTATTGTTGACCCAAAGCCATATGTCAGTGGGTTGTTGGGGACAACGCTCCGGTTGCCTGGAGGACTCTTCGCCGTCCAGAAGTGGCAGCCCAGCCCGAGTTTCTGAAGCGAACCTGCCGTAGCGCATCCGCTTTTGTACAGTTGGGCAATGTGCAAAGTCACTGCAAAGTACAGGAAGCTGGGTATGTGCCAGAACGATCGACCCTTCAAATTTGTTCACATGCAACTTGATTCCCAACTAAGCTTAAACCCAGGGATACCCCCCAAGAAACCGGGGGTCCAGAGGAACTCACCCTCCTTTTGTTTTTGCATGCAACATGATTCTTAGCCGCACATCCCCACCGTGGTAGCCCAAGACCTTTGACCCGCAAAGGTCGTGGGGGCACTCCCGGTCCATCTGTGAAAATCGTGCCGCGGCCGTGGTGTCCTTCGCGCGGAAACGCAAACGCCCCCCGAGCGCAGGCCGTCGCGGTGACGACCTTCATGCAGTGTGACGCCCAGGGCACGTTCTCGAGCGGCAAGAAGGGCCAAGATTGGCCGGAACTAGCGGAGCTGGTCCCCTTTAGTGAGAAGGCAACAAGGAGGTGAGTGGTTTACTCATGTACCTAAAAGGGAAATTTAAACGAAATTCTCCCAGTTCAAGATCAAACAACATCTTGGCCCTCCGTTGAAAGGGGGGGGTGCGGTTCACCAGGCGATGGATTTCATTCAGCTTGCCTACTTCTTCGATTCTGGCTGCGAGGTGTCACGCTAACATTCTGGGCATACTTTGCCTCGCCCACTTCGGTCAACAACTTGAAACAACCTTACCCAAGACAAAATACTAATTCAAGGAGGCGCTTCCCTAGTATCACTAGAGCTGGCAACAATCACCCTGCTGGAACCATGTCAACATGTGCTCCAAACAAGGGTAACTATTTCATCAACTAGCTGTGAGCAACTGCTGCAGAATTCTGGCCGAAACGTGGCCCCGTTTTTCGCCATGTTGATATGTTGCTTGCGAGTGAGTCGAAGATGGGGAGTTGTTTAAAACAACCTGGGCAGAGCCCAAGACCCTCATCGGTCTTTTTTTTGCGCGACCTGGGAAGGATCAAAGTGGGCTTTGACCCATTCGCCTCAACGCGGCCAGATTGGTGTTGTCCTTCCTGGGCGGGCCGATGAAACTGGCCAACACCTTCCTGGACCGAATCGGGCTGCGGGCACAAAGAGAAACCTCGGTGGGTCGATGCTGAAATCCCAACTTGGGGCGAAATGAGTCGATGTTGACACCATACATGTGGGTCTCCAAAAGAGAAGCTCAAAAAAACACGTTAGTGCTTGTTACCCTTTTGACGCAAGAGCTGAGGGTCCTGATCCTACTTTTTGCACGAGACAATTGTGAACCCCACGGCGGACGCCTCCGGAATGACTACTCTCAACACCGAGCAAGACAGGGAAGCCCAAATCAGTGAAGCCTGTTTGCATGGAAAATTGGCCCCTTGGGCCTAAGGGCACTTGAAGCGGAACCAACAAGCCCCGCCAAAATGTGTATTTAAGTTTGGGGACCCCTTTGTCCGTCTCCCTGTTCGTTTGAACCCCCCTTTTCCAGTTGAACAGGAGCAGAGTCCTAGAAGAAAACAAAACGGGGCTCAAAGTTAATGTACCAGGGGTTCAACATGCCTAGACTCGGACCCCTGAAATGGTTGGTTTGCCTTTAATTTCCCTTCAACCACCCAAAACAAACTCCCCCCCCCAACCTCCCAACCCCTCAACCCCTCGACCCCTCAACCCCTTAACCCCCCCCCCAATGTTTTTCAGGCACCGCCGGGGAAAAAAAACAAAAAAAAACAAACACGTCCCCGTCGCCAGGAGGAGAAGCAGCCGCCGGTGGAGCAGCTCTGCTTCTTTAAGCCCCGGGCCCCAGCGATGCGCTTCGCGGAGCGCTCCGCACTCGTCTCGTGGCCGAACCCGGAGTCCCCAGACTCGGGAAGCTTTCCTTCGGGGAATCAAAAGATATTTTTTCCTTTTGGGGACCGGACCCCCTTTTTTGGGCTCTACTAGGTAAATTGGGGTTCTATACTAATTTGCGGGGGAGTGTGGGGCGAAGGCAGAGCTGTTCAACACCCTTTGCACGCTTCGGTCGGTTGGTGTGACTGCAGATCAATTTTTAAACCTTTCTCCAAATGGCGAACCGCCTTTCCCAGATGGTGTTAGCCGGACACTATGGGCTGCTTTTGGAGGCTACTTTCTTGTTTGGTTTGAAGGGCCACCAAAAAAGAAACTTCCATATGTTTTGCCCCCCCCCGCCCCACCCCCATCTCCCCATCTTGACAGATGCACGGGTGATTTTGTTTGGGGTGTCATCGTGACACGATGCGAGGTGGTTCCTGCCGCCGCCGGAGTCTCGGTTTCGTTTCGAGCCGGGCACGACCCCCCCCCCGGCCCTTGACTTTGTTTTTTCAGTGGCTGCCCTTTTTTGGGATCACGTCGGAAACTGTGCAAGTAGCCCTTGAACCCACTTGAAGTGTGTGACTTCGAGAGTTCGCAGATACAATTTGGCCGGAAAATGGGGGGGGGGGGGTCACGCGGTTTACTCCAGGTACCGGCCGGGCCCGAACTTCGTGTCCAAGGTGGTGGTGAGGGCCCCAGCATTGAAACAGGAACTCAGCCATGGAAGCCAAAAAGCGGGAGCCTGTTAACCCCAGATAGATCGTGCTCTTTCTTTGGGCAGAGGCCATAGGACTATAGGACCTAACCAAATTGATACAGAGCTTTGACTCATACCAGGCAAGAATAAGAGGGCCCTGAACTCCGTTGGTTTTAGTTCAGCTGGGCCGGCAACCAAGGTTGGCATTCTGCAGTACGCAGTGGTCACGCCAAGATCTGAGAGATCTCAGTCAAACATGCCGGAATGAAGTTTGGAGAGAAAACAAACATCAGCAGAACCATGCCAGTTGCCGAAAGAGTCAAACAACAAGCGAGTGTCCCTCTTTGCTCACAGCCACGCAAGTCTCACTGGACTTGGCAGATGGATATGATTGGCCGGCATATGGGAAGAATCCCGCGAAGGCCGCTGCTGTTCCTGATGACCGCCTTGTTGCGGGGCTCCTTGCAGGAGCAACACCAACCCGAAGGCTCATGACCCCTATCCAGGCCCCCGAAACCATCCAATGAAAAACCCACTCAGTCAGGGGCCCTTGAAATCAACGCAGCTTCAGGGCCCAAAAGTCATGAGCCTTAGGGAAAGAGTATTCCAAGCAACCTGCCGGAACTGACAGGAACCTGGGTCCAGCAACCCTCCCGCCGGAGGTCTCACTACACACTCCCCGTTGCTTGTGAGCCTTTCCATCCGCCCTCTCCCAAAAGGGGCGTAGGTCTGATTGGGGAACCATCCCCGTTGCCTTTCCTTTCCATGTCCCCTTTCCCAGAAGCAGGTCAACCCTTCCCTCACCTCTCCCAGCGGCGTTTCGCCGACAGGACCCGGATCTGGCGCGGTTCCACCGGGGCCTGCTGCGGCTGAAGGCAGTGCCGGGCCCTCAAGAAAGCAAGAAAGGAGCCATTCGTGTCACTCAAAAAGGGGCAACCCAAACGACAGTGGTTGTCAAAACTCATGGTATCCCAATTTGGGGTAGGCGCACCCCCCATTTTAGAACCTATTTTAGTGGGGATTGGGATGTTCACTGGGGGTACGGCCCATCGCCATATGGAGTGCTTCCCCAAATATGTGGGGGGGCTGTCAAAAATGAGTACGCTTTTTGGGCCATGGTTTATGTGGGGCCCGCCAAAGGCGTCCATATGGACAACCCAACGTGTGGACCCAGCTGCCAGGAGGGTTTCCTTTCGGCTTCAGCAGTGGGGCTTCCTGTCAGGACCCAAATCGTTGATGCTCCAGTTTCTGCTGCAAGTGTTCTTCCGTGGCTAAAGCGTTGCTCAGCTTCCTTCCCACCGCCAGACCATTCAAGAGGATAGCCAAGTTCCCCATGTCCCTTTTGGAAATCCCGAATGGCTCATGACACAGCTGGCGAAAACTGGGCCAAAGCTTGTATCTTCCAAACCGGGGATCTACCTGAAACCGCATCGGGCTGGTGTGGAGTACATGTTTCTCTTTTGGGCTGGTGACACCTTCGGGCCATCAATTAAGTTTCTCTTCGGGGTCACGTTCAAAAGGGGGCAGAGAAGTTAGCTTTCTTGATGCATCTTTGCCCGGTACCCCAAGACCACGCACACGTTTCGGGAATGGGGTCACTTCGAAAGAAGCCCTTTGGCTGCTTGCCCCCAATTTGATGGGATGTTGCCCAATCGCGCTCATCGGGACTGCAAAATCAGATGGACCCCCAAAGCAGGTGCCGCCCCAAAGGAGATTCCTCCAGAAGATACGGTTTGGGGTTCCTTTGTTTATTTGCAGGGCAAGCGGTTTCAACAAAATGGTGTTTTCCCGGGGCCTCGCGTGAATCTGGACCGGCTCAGGCCGCCCATGATCAAAGGCGTGTCCTGCCTCTGCGCCATGTGCGCTGGGAAGTGGAAGCACACCACAAGATCCCGCACCATCCACGGGTTACGTCAGCGTCTTATCCATTAGGACAACTGTGGGTAACTGTTCCATAGATTCCAGAAGAGTGTTTGGCCGAAAAGGGAGTACCCAAAACCCAAAACAAGGAAAGGTCGGTGGTAGAGGTACAGCCTGCAACCTGTCGGCTAGGTCCTGAAGCCTGGGATAAGCCATCACTGGCAATCATCCCTCCATTCCGAGCCCGGTTTGACGTGCAGAAGTTGGAACGCAGTTTTGGACATTGCCGAAGGATGTGCATTGTCAACATGCGTCCATTTTTCTTCAGAGTTGGACTTCCCTAGGCTCAAGCAAACCGAAAGCAAATATCCATTTGATTCGTCATAATTGCCATGGTCCTTGTGGCGCATTTCGGTGGCAGGTACCACTTGGTGCTTCTGCGGCGCGCCGGGCTTAGAGGGCCACGTTTCGGCCGCCGTGGACATCGTCTCGCGCGAAGTTGTCGTCCGAGGCGAGACGCGGCAGTACTTGGACAAGCTGAAGCCCGCGTGGGCCTCAGCGGAATGCAGGGAGGTCCGATCCGGGCAAGGTGGAGCTCAGAGGTGTCCTTTTTGGTGGGTTTGCTTCAAAACATAGGCCGGGCCCTGGTTTAGATGGGGTTTATGCCGTTTACCAGGGCCATCTATTTTTCCAGAAGGCCACCTATGGTGGAGCTGTTGCTTTCTGTTTTTTTTTTTTCTTTTTTCCCCATGCGTTCGTCTTGTTGTTGGGGAACATAGACATTGTTGTTGGGGAACATAGACAACCCCCTTCAGGAAAGAAGGGCCACATAGGGCCAGCCTGAACTTCCCGTGAATGCCAAGCGGGAAGTACTTCTGTTGTGCGGTGAGTTTGCTAGACATAAACGTATATCTGAAACTTGTAATGTTCATTTGCTACATAGAGCCCCAAAGTTTTTCGGGGGTTCGTGGATTGATCGTTGTTGTTTGCTACGTGCCAAACCGGGTGTGAATTCGCGAGTGAATTCGCGAATGTCTTGGGTGGGAATGTGGGAATGAACCCAGGGGTCCCCTTAAAGGAAACCATAGGGGATGGTTTATCAGGGTCATTCCATGTCTCATTCCCTGCCGCTCCCTGCCTATCGCACTCGCACTCGATTCGAGGCCCTGAAGTTTGTGGCCATCAACTGCATCGTGTTCCTCACCTTCTGGCAGGGCTTCGTGGTGGACGCGGTGGGCAGCTTTGTGTGCTACCCCACGGGACAGGCGCGCGCCCCGGTGTGGCACGGGGGACGAGATGGGCCTTGAATTGTTCTTCACCCGGATGCCATACCTTGGCTCGCAAAGTGTGTTGCGTTGCATGTTCACCTGTGGCATGGACTGGAAATCAGGCTGCCACAGATTCCTAAGCAGGTTCCCCTTAATCTCGGTTGTATTTTGCGTGTAATTCGAGCGGACACCGCCTTAGGCCCTAGGCCTTTTTACATGTTTGCACCCACTTCCCCCGCAGGATCCCTGGCCTCGACTTGGTGCTCGCCACATGTGTGGGGAATCTGAGCACGGTGCGCCAAATTTACAAAAGGGCGACGAAGCTCTTCACGGGGTTGGCTTCGGTGGATTAGAAGTTCAACATGCACGTGCGAATGAGCCCAAACGGGGGGACGCGGGTTTCCCTTCGATTCAAACCAGAGCCTGGGACCCATTGCACGCATCTTGGCGGTTGCAAAGTTGCCTCATATATAAGGGAGGCCAACTTTAGTGGAAACCCTATTTTAGTTGACACCCCAGCAACCTATAGTGGAAACTCAAAGCCCCAGGGCCCCGTGTTGAAGCAATCGAAAAGCTCGGGGGCAGGCGAAGCATGACGAAACGGCGCAGTGCCGGCCTTAAGCAGTCGGCCAAAAGCACCGGCTGCCTGTAGCGGTCGTCAGGCCTTCCCAGTAGAAACGCCTCAGGAGTGGCCACTTGAGAAGAGACCAAGCAAAAACCACCGGCAAAAGATGGAAAAGGGGGGAGTTATATGCTTTGGAGCCGTTTGGAGCGGTGTTTTCCGTGTGGCAACAGTTCATCGGGCCTTGCTTCGCACGATTTCTACGAGCTGACACTTGAGTGCGCCAAAGCTAGGACTCCAGCGAGGGCAAACTTGTACTTGCTGGTGCTCAGCAGGAATGAGGGAATGACCCCGATAAATCATCCCCTATGGTTTCCTTTAAGGGGACCCCTGGGTTCATTCCCATATTCCCCACTGAGCACCAGCAACGTAATTGCCCCCTCCTTGAACGCACCGTTTGTTCGGGAGCAGTCCGGGGCGGCCGCACAAGGTGAGGAGACTGGGACCCAATATCGGGCCCTTTGGATTTGGCGGGGCCTGCAACACCCAGCGTGTGTCCCTTTCATTCGACGGTTTCCTGCCTGGGTCCAACTAGTCCTTGGCTTCCAACCGAATTTTCCTCAAGAAGTCGCCTTCTCCACCTCCCTTTGGATGAGGTTGAGCCGCCAGCAGTTCCTCGCCAGCATGAAGAGCTTGCTGCTGTGCGTGGAGATGCCGGGACCCCCAGTGGAGCGCATTACGGGGAAGGAACTCATCAGACCCGCCTGTGTCCTGAAAGAAAATGATCAACGCCCTCATCCCCTAAATCGACCCTACCCCAAGGTTTTGCGGTGAACCCTTCCATGAGAACCTCGTCTAATTGAGAAGGTTTCTTTCGAACCTGTCGGCCTGCCTCGGCAACTGGCATTGGTGTTTTCCCCAAAGCCAAAAGCAAATTGGGGAATCCTCCAGATAGAAACAATTGGATCTGTTTGTTTTTGCGGGGTACCCTTTTTTTCCGGGTGGTTTCAAAGGGAAACCAAAAGGAACACCTTTTTTTTGGAGGGTCACAAAAAAAGTCACCTATTTGTGCCAAAATCTGTTCAACAAAACCCAAGCTAAGGGAACCATGACCCTGGACATCCAAACGCCATGGAAGTGTGCACGCGCTCTCCTCACCCTGCCGGCGGAGTATAGATTGAAGGGAAGGCAATTGATCTTTGCGGTCACAAATCCATGTATGCTGCTCACGCACACACACAGACACACACACACACACAGACACAGACTTAGACTCAGCTGTGCGGCTTGCTGCCGAGCCGAGGCCCATTTTCGCGGAGCTCCATGGCTGCGTCGGGCAGCTCGGGCAATCCGCTCAATCACCCGTCTATGGGACCCCGCCCCCCTCGTGCAGAGTTCGGGGAGATGACTCCGGCCTTACCATCTCTAGCTTTTGGGGAGACACCGTTATGTGTTTTCCTTTTTTTTCCCCTTTTGTGTGTGTGTGTGTTTTTGTTGTTGTGTTGTTTCTTTAGTTTATTTATTTATTATTTATTCATTTGTTTATTTGTTGTATTTATAGTTTTATGTATCTATTTATAGTGTTATGTATTTCATTTATTTTTAGTTTAGTTCTTATTTTTTAATGTATTTATGGTGTTTATTTATTTATTTGTAGTTTAAGTTATTTGATTTGTTTTTAGTGTATTTATTATTTATTTATTTATGTGTGTGTGTTTTTACTTATGTATTTATAGTTTGTGTTTTTCTTAATTCATTTTTAGTTTATTTATTCATATATATATATATATTAAAAACAATATATACATATATATATATACATATAGGTTTTTTTTGGGGGGATGACGCCTTCCCATTTTGAGAAAACATCAAATGGATATTTATATTGACCTTTTTCAGCCTGTCTCATTTGCCGACGCCCTTTCATGTTGTGACAAGGTGTCTGGCAAACCATTCCAACGAGTTATGTAAAGCCGTTGACCTATGCCTCCTAGGAGAGAGGCCATCCAAGGAACGAAACCCAAGGACACCGCAATATCCTTGTGGCTCATAGATGGGATCCGTATATTCATTTCGGGTGTGTATGACGGCTCTTCCAGACAACTGGCAAGCCGAGTACGCATTGGATCAAATCTGGTTGCTTAGTTTCATCAGACCGTAGCTTGAATCGTTTCTCCTGATCACAAAGCGCGG